AAGTTTACTGAAATCAGTACTCTAGTTGTCTTTTAATAAAAGTTTGAACGTTCCTTACTTCAAAATTTTCGTGTCTAGGTCACTACAATCCTATGAGATTTATACCCAAATAATAAAAATTTATTGCCGGAGTATCAACATCTAATTGATCATAAATTTCTTACATAATTAAATTAAGTTCATTTATATATTCATTTTAATTATATCTTTGCTAAAAACAAATTCAAATAATTTCATAATCAATCATGCAAAATTTTTATTTTGCAATATGCATCTCAAGATTTGATTGAATCATGGTCCATATTCTTTCAGATAATCTATTTTAATCACATATCAATATTCACAACAATTCATGCAAAACATTTTTGGTCCTCACCCAAACTTTATCCATAATATTTATTCCCTCTTATTATTATTTTTTTAATCAAAACAACGTATATATTTTTAAATGCTAAATTTGCTAAACGCCTTGAAACCAGCAGTTTTCGAAGTCATAACGAACTTATTAGCGTCATTTAATTCCCAAACAATGCAATATTTTTTATAGTTTCGATACAAATTCGTTCGCCAGAGTTGCCCTTCGTCCTCCTCGAGCCGCGGTGAAGAACCCTAGAGAGAAGAGAAAGCTCCTTCAGGTAAGCGCGCCCCATTTCTTTACCCTTATTCTTTCATCCGTTATCTTTACTTCTTTCTCTTTGTTTTCGATTCGACAGCTGGTAATGGCAATGTTGTTGCAAGATAGATCAGGCCAGCTATCGGAGATCGGATTTTGATCAACCATTTCGATCATATTTCTTTCTCTGTTACTGTTTGCTAACGGAAGGATCTAAGATGGATGACGATGGAACACTGGGGATTCAAAACTGGGGAGGTTTTTACCGGGCTCCGCCTTTGAAGGGAAATCTAGGTCTGCAACTCATGCCCAGTGTTGGGGAACGCGACACCAAGCCTTTCTTCTCCGGAATGGGGAGCGGCGGCGGTTATCTCCAGCGCGAATGTGAAGTGACGGGGCCATCCGCCATGCCGATGGGGTTTGCAAGGAACATTTGGTATCATAATAACAGAGACAGCAGTAAGTTGCTGCATGTTTTCCATGGAAGCCATCAGGAACCATCTCACAGTTATGGAGCTCTTTTACCAGAAACCGCTGCCGCTACTGTGCCTGGAACCGCTGTGCATACCCTGCAGATGCTGCAGCAGGTTGAAGTGCCCATGAAGGAGGAGAGGATCCCGGCCATTGAGGAGCCAAGTGCTCCTCAACAAGAGGCAGCGTGTTTGAATAAGAGGTCGAAGGGTCAGGGGCGCTCTTCCAAGGTTTCAAAACCTAAAAAGGCTAAGAAGGCTGCTACCCCGAAGCAAGAGTCTTCCAATCCTTTTGGGAGAGGGAGGTCTGCTAAGAAGACAATGGATATGGTGATTAATGGAATTGATCTAGATTTATCTGGGATGCCTGCACCTGTCTGTACCTGCACTGGACGCCCGCAGCAGTGCTATAGATGGGGTGCCGGTGGGTGGCAGTCGGCTTGTTGCACCACAATCATTTCAATATATCCATTGCCAATGAGCACGAAGAGGAGAGGAGCTCGCATTGCAGGGAGGAAGATGAGTCAAGGTGCCTTCAAGAAGGTGTTGGAGAAACTAGCTGGGGAAGGTCAAGATTTTAGTAGCCCGATTGACTTGAAGCCTTTCTGGGCCAAGCATGGCACTAACAAGTTTGTGACAATCAGGTAAAAGATGTAAAGTGCTTATCAGATATGGTAGGATTCATCTTCACCGTGGGAATGTTCTTTTTGCTGTGCATATAAACATGCAGCCCGTTGCTGAAACTGTTGTATTAGGTTGTTGAACTTGATTTTATTTAATTAGTGATATATGTATGCATTTCGAAGGTAGGATTCTGGTTAGCTGGACATGGTGGTTGTTTTATGTCTCTTAATTAATTTATCTGAAGTTTTTTCTACTATAATTTTTCTTTCCTTACAGAGGTTTATCTATGTTAGTTCTCTTCAAATGTGATGTTTCTTAGATTGGCTTTTTTTAAATATGGAGGTCACTTTAACATTTTATTATTGATTTTTGGATTCATTAATATGTTGCATGTTATGTTATTGATGTTTTTGGCATATATGAAACTTTATGAAAATGTTTAACCTTGTCTGATTGCTTATATTAACGGAAATGATAATAGTTTGGTTTGTTTGTGATTCTTTCTGTGGATTGCTTCTTTGTGCATTGTGAACTCTTGATGCTGAATTGGATCTTTTTTTTTTTTTTTTTTTTTTTTTTTTTT